TGAGACAAGTATATGTATGGTACTCTCTCTCTCTCTCTCTCTCTCTCTCTCTCTCTCTCTCTCTCTATATAGTATCTATATATCTAGAGATATATATATATACAAGGTCGTCTTAAGGAAAGTAGAGGCTTAAGGCGAAAATTTCTAATTTAGGCCTTCTCTCGTGCTTAATTAAAAAAATCATTGAAATTTTATATGCAAATTTATAATATACTAGCATTTTATTATTAAGAGAAAAGTATCCATCAAAATTTGATTAAAACACTAGGCAAATAAATATCTATATTAGGTTTTATATTTCAAAAACTTTAGATTTTGAAACTAATATGTATACATGTGAAAAATATTAAATATGGTCACCTTGAAATTTTTAACTTTCACACTAGATAAGAACTATATTAATTCACTGTCTATAGTATTGAAAGAATATTATGAAGAAAAAACTAAAAAGAAGAGAATGTGATTGTTTTCTTCTATTATTTTTCATAAAAGACTGAAATGGTTTTTTTTTTTTTTTAATGACTGGGGGTGTCCAGACAGCTCATGTGCACCTTAACTAATCCTCAGGATACTAAAACTACCAACGGGGTAAGAGTTCTAGTGACTATCCCTATTAGCAACTAAGGGAGGACTCGAACTCATGACCTCTTGAGTAATGCACCCAAAAGTCCCTATTGAACCACTCGACCACTCATAGATAGTTAAAAAAAGAAAGATTGAAATGTTAATGTCACATAGGATGATACATCACATGGGAAGTAAAATTTGGGATAAAATTTTGAGAAAAATACTATTATTGATGTTATAATTAAACTTTGTTGGCATAAGTCATGTGTATAATAACTCTTATTATATAATTAAATTGACATTAACTTTTAAATTTACAGTAAAGCCTAGATTACGGACTATGCAATTATGAAGAGCTAGTGTTTTTCCTTGTAATGGAATATAGATTTTATATGAAATTGAATTTTTATCATAAATGTCTTGATTATAATTAAACTTATAATTGTTGGCATGAGTCATATATATAATAACTCTTATCATATAATTAAATTAAAATATTGGATTTGTTCTTGGTAACAAAACTAATATTTTACAACAAATCTAAGATTTTGAAAATATCTCATTGAAATTTAATTTATAGACTTAATGATAGAGAGAAAATTAAATGAAATTTGAAATCACTTTCATTTAATTCTCTCTCTCATATCATTAAATTACTTTTTTATTTCTTAATTCACGACAAATAAGTATTTTTATATATGAATCATCTTATAAAAAGTTAAATATATCCCTATTTGATCCAGATCAATTGATCCAACAAGCATTTTTGTTAATAAAAAAGACACATATAAAATTGTAATATACTCTTAGTGATAGTAGCCAATAAAAGTGAGCAGTTTCAATAAAAACAAAGCTGAAAGGTAGTTGGATGTAGACCAAATCCATTTAGTTTTTTTATTGAAATCTTTGTTACGTATACCTAGAGATACTCATGGTGGAAGCAGGTGACACGATTTCTATATTATAATTAACCAATTAAGGAAGTAGAACTCTCTATATGATACTCTATATAGGAATAACCTTCATGTAGTCATAAAAAATGTTGGTCTCAACTTGGGCCTTTATAAATAAGAAATTTCATATTGTAATAAGTTATATTTTTCTAGGTCCCGTCTTAAGAAACTTGCCTCTTTTGCGAAATTCAATACTCATCCAACAAAAAGATAATTATAAATACATGATTCGGGTCCTTTTAGAAACTATCCATTAAAAGCATGGAGATTCCAAAGTAAATATTTACGAAAGAAATCGCATTTTACAAGGTGGATGTGCTGTATCTAATAAATGATGAACAATTAATAAAATGACAGTGCTATTTGGATCAGTTGATCCGAATCAAAACAATTTTTGGGTACGTAAATTTACGAATTTACTCTTCAATAAAATAAATTTATTTTTGTCTCATAAGCCCTGCCTTTTGGAGGGAAAACAATTTCCCTAATTGACATTATGGAAGGATGAGAGAGAAGTAATGATTATTTCAATATTTCTAAGAATAGAAGTTAGAAAATTGTAATTAATTTATTGTAATAATTAAATTTCTTTTTAGAAAAAAAAAAAAAAAAACACGTAAAGTCTTTTCTTGAGATTTTATCATTTCCACAGCTGTTACATTTGCGACGATGGATGACATCAATACATATCTCCAATAAATAATACGAACCCTAATTTCATATTAAAATGCTATTGTTAATAGTCTTAAAATATAATATTATCGTTAATGGTCTTAAAAGATAATGCAAACCCTAATCTCATATTAAAATACTATGTAAGTTATATATTGCTATACTATTAATGCAAGTAAGACGATTTTTTAAAATGACATGTAGATATTCTATTTAAAAAATTTTATGATTCACAAAATCATAGATATAAAAAAAAAAAAAAAATAGTTATATTACTATGTAAAATTTGTGACAAACATGTTATATATATTGCCATATATACTCAATACTACATATGGTACATTATATATATGATACACTATATACAAAATCACATAGTACTATATATGCAACATGTACGTATACTCAATTCACAATTCTAAAATGTGAAATACAACATGTAAAGATAAAGATATTTATATATGGTACACTATATAAAAAATCACATAGTAAGTTAATACTATATGTCATATTTATCTCACACACACACACACACACACACACACATATATATATATGACATGTAAAGATATACATGGTATATAAAGATATATACCATGTATCTTCTATTATTTTCTTCTTCTATTATTTTTCATAAAAGACTTAAATTTTTTTTTTTTTTTTTTTAATGACTAGGGGTGTCCAGGCTAGCTCACCCGCACCTTAACTAATCCTCATGATACTGGAACTACTAACTGGATAAGAGTTCTAGTGACTATCCCTATTAGCAACCGAGGGGAAACTCGAACTCATGACCTCTTGAGTAATGCACCCAAGAGCCTCTATTGAACCATTTGGTCACCCATAGATAATTAAAAAAAGAAAGATTGAAATGTTAATGTCACATACGATGATACATCACTTGGAAAGTAAAATTTGGGATAAAATTTTGAGAAAAAGTAGTATTATTGATGTTATAATTAAACTTTGTTGGCATGAGTCACGTGTATAATAACTCTTATTATATAATTAAATTGACATTAACTTTTAAATTTACAGTTAAGCCTAGATCACGGACTATGCAATAATGAAGAGCTAGTGTTTTTTCTTGTAATGGAATATAGATCTTATTTGACATTGAATTTTTATCATAAATGTCTTGATTATAATTAAACTTATAATTGTTGGTATGAGTCATATATATAATAATTCTTATCATATAATTAAATTAAAATATTAGATTTGTTCTTGGTAACAAAACTAATATTTTATAACAAATCTAAGATTTTGAAAATATCTCATTGAAATTTGATTTATATACTTAATGATGAGAGAGAAAGTTAAATGAAATTTGAAATAGCTTTCATTTAATTCTCTCTCATATCATTAAATCACTTTTTTATTTCTTAATTCACTAAGGGCAAATAAGTCTTTTTATATATGGATCATTTTATGAAAAGTCAAATATATCCCTATTTTATCCTCATCAATTGATCCAACAAGCATTTTTGTTAATAAAAAAGACTTATATAAAATTGTAATATACTCTTAGTAATAATAGCCAATAAAAGTGAGCAGTTTCAATAAAAACAAAGCTGAAAGGTACTCGGATGTAGACCAAATCCATTTAGTTTTTTTTATTGAAATCTTTGTTACGTATACCTAGAGATACTCATGGTGGAAGCAGGTGACACGATTTCTATATTATAATTAACCAATTAAGGAATCGATGTAGATATACCCTCAAATGCTGGTGGTATTTACGAAATAGTTTCCCTATTTATTGAAAACAGGTAATTAATTTAATTGATTAACCCATCAATTTGGAGACAAACAAGAGCACAAGACGGCAGGAACACATAATATGATGATAATTAAACTATTTTAATCATTAATGTAACGATTAGATGAGATCACGAAATAGTAATTTAATAATCCCATTCGACAAATAACACATCAGTTTCCAGCAGAAAGTACAAATAAATATTATTTTTAATCGCCTTGATAAACTATGCTTTCACATGCACAAGATTCATTACATAAAATCTTGGAGATGAAGTTGAGACTCAGTTAAAATAAACTCATGACTCATGACTTTTAATCTATTTTGAGTCCAATTTTTTATTTTATTTATGTCTACAATGAAATTATCAATAAAGGTTTTAGTACAAGTACTAATTTTATAAATTGCTTTACTATAAGAATAAGAATATGCCATCTGACTCTCAGTTTTTGTCTTTGAGTTTCGAATTTTAAGTCGACTTATTTGTCGACAAAATAAGCGCCACTAGAAGCCACAACAACTGGCCGGCATATATATAGTCTTAAAGTTAAATTTATATAAGACAGCATTTTTTAAATGCTATTTAATACAATTTTTATATATTTGTAAAAATTTCCATAATTTATTTATTAAAAAAAAAAAACAGTCTAAGTGTAAGATTCCTACAGCTTTAGCTAAAATAATTTTTTTTATAGTATTGCATTGTTATAAAGATAATAAATTATGAAAATAAAAAGGTTTGAAATTTGATTTTTGTATATTCTTTAAAGTGAAGTGGTTGAGTAGTGTGTCAGTGTGACCACGTCATACACGTGGTTATGACTTTATACCCTTATTGCCTCAGTCAATAGTTTAAATGGAATTAATTAGTTAATATATTAAATAAATTAATTAGATAAATAAGAAAGAAAATTTTACATTGACTTGCTGTCCTGTTAAGTTCTGGTGGGTTCAAGTTCAACCACGTGGGAGAAGCAAACACCAACATTATTGGGAAATTATTGAACAAATAATATTAAGTAATACCCATGAAAGCTACCAAGTTCTCTATAAAATACCATAACATTTCTATAAGAAAACCTGCACTGCCCTTCATACCTAATTGAATCTGCTTACTTCATCTCTTCATTCAAGATGGGTTCGATTGATCACCAAACACCAACAAAGCCTCATGCAGTACTAATTCCATACCCAGCACAAGGCCATGTTACTCCCATGATGCAATTAGCCAAACTTCTACATTCTAAAGGCTTCCATATTACGTATGTTAACACTGAGTTCAACCATAAACGTTTGATCCGGTCCAGAGGATCAAACGCTCTCAAAGGCCTACCTGATTTCCAATTCAAAACCATACCTGACGGATTGCCGCCGTCTGATCGCGATGCCACTCAAGATATTCCAGCCTTGTGCGCTTCGATAAGAAAAACTTGTTTGACTCCATTTGTGGAGCTAATATCTAAGTTAAACTCATCAGGAGAAGTGCCCCCAGTTACTACTATAGTTTCTGATGGAGTCATGACATTTGGTATTAAAGCTGCGGAAATACTTGGTTTACCGGTAGTTACATTATGGACTGCCTCAGTCTGTGGCATGTTGGGATATTTGCAGTATGCCGAACTTGTCGAAAGAGGCACAGTTCCATTTAAAGGTATGTTGTGCTCTGTATCTGTTTTTTTTTTTACTCTTTCTTTCCCTTCCATTGAAGCCAGCATTCAATTTATATAGTTTCTCCCGTTAAAATAAATTTAGTAACTCTGACTTACGACTTGGTATGCAGAAAACAGTTGAGATTTTTGTTAGAAAAAGCTAACTTAAGATGGAATTTCGTATAAAGTTCATATGGAAAGATGTTAATTATTTACAAAATCCAGTTTATCTGAATCATTCTAATCGATTTTATATATAAATTAAATGTTGATTGTTACTTTATGTATTACATATTTCTGTGTGTTAAGTATTTGTAGTTAATCTTTGTCTATTTCAAGCATAAAATAATCAAATTTAATGCGTGAATATGAACGTTTTCTGATATATGAAAAAACTTTCACCACACAACTGCATACCATCGCTATATTTCATCACTTCCCATATAAATTATAAACTTCCTCGGTGTTTAATTTTTAAATTACGAGGTTAGGTGAGATTTAACATCTTCTTATTTTAAAATTAAAAAAGATCAAGAATTGAACTATGACTCCTCACTATCCCCAAGTTTTCTCCCTATGCCTGTACCTCCGTGTCTATTTCTGATTGTTTTTTCTAAATCTCCGGAATCAATAAAAAGTTCCCATTTTTTTAATTTACAAGAAAACTTTAACTAATTTTTTATGTGATCTAAGCATGTGATGAAAAAAGATATGAAGTGGATACATATCTTCATCTTTTATTAAAAATTTATGATTAGCTGTCCTTTACTCCTTTTACCCCATAGGTAGGACTGTAAACGAGACAAGCTGAGTCAAGTTTTTGACTTATTGGGCTCGGTTCGTTTGCTACAGGATTGAGCTTGAGCCTGTCGAGTCTGAGAAAAGGGACTCGAACTCGAGCTCGATCGAGTTCGAGTCAAGTTCGAGCCCACTCGACTTCATTTTCATCATCTCCATCATCTTCTTCTTCATCCTTTTCTTCGTATTTATCTCCATCATCTTCATCTTCATCTTCATCTCATCTTCATCTTCGTCTTCATCTTGCAGAGCATTACTGCTACCATCTCCATCTTCTTCATCTTCATCTTCATCTTCATCTTCTTCCTCAACACAACCATTATTTTGATTTTGATTTTGATGTCTGATTATGAATATTTGAAAGAACAAATTTAGGGGTTAGGGTTTGTCGATTTGGGAAATCTGATTTGTGGGTTTAATTTCGTGTTATAGAACTAATTACATCGGGGGGTTAAATGTCATTTTTACAAACTTTTTAAATTAAAGAATAAAGATAACACTTTAGTCCCCATAGTTTATAAAACTAATAAAAGGAGCCTTGCTTAGGCAAGCCACCTCAGGCTCGCGAAACTGCAAGTCGAGCCGAGCTGAGTTGGCTCATCTGACAGCCCTACCCATAGGCTATTGGGATACCAAAATCTTAATATTATTATTAATATTGATGTACTCTTTCCCTTTTCTCTAAATTTACATATATAATGAATGAATATATGAACATATAGTGATATGGTATTATTTTTTAAATAATTTATTAATTAAGGATTTTTTTATATTGATTCCATCATTTATATTTTGTCGTATCAATTTGTATATGTTCTTTTTTTTTTCCCTAAACATATGATGCACCAACAGTCTAATTAGTAATTAAGATTGTTTTCATTTTTTATTTTTATTTTTTAATTTTGCTTTCCAGATGAAAAGTTTCTCACGGACGGCACTCTTGACACACCTATCGACTGGATCCCGGGCGTGAACCACCTACGATTAAAGGACTTGCCGAGCTTCATGAGAGTCACTGATGTTAACGACATCATGTTTGATTACTTGGGCACAGAATCACAGAACTGCCTGAAATCTTCCGCAATCATATTTAACACATATGATGAATTTGAGCATGAAGCTTTAGAGTTTATTTCTTCTAAATTCCCTAGAAATAACATGTATACAGTAGGTCCACTTCCCTTGCTTTGTAGGCATTTGCCGGAAACCAACCATTTCAAGTCATTTAGAACAAGCTTGTGGAAGGAAGACTCGGAATGTCTAAAATGGCTTGACAAACAAGAACCCGATTCAATTGTTTATGTTAATTACGGTAGCATTACTGTAATGTCGGACGAGCACCTGAAAGAATTCGCCTGGGGTCTTGCAAATAGCAAACACCCGTTTTTATGGATTCTTAGGCCTGATGTGGTGGAGGGTACTGACGATTCTGCGATCTTGCCTCAAGAATATTTTGAAGAGATAAAGGATAGAGGGTTAATAGTAAGTTGGTGTCCGCAAGACCAAGTGCTTTCTCACCCTTCAATTGGGCTATTTTTAACACATTGCGGGTGGAATTCTACGATTGAAACTGTAAATGGTGGTGTTCCTGTAATTTGTTGGCCTTTCTTTGCTGAGCAGCAAACGAATCGTCGATATGCATGCACAACTTGGGGCATGGGCATGGAAGTCAATGAAGATGTGAAACGTGATGACATTGAGGCTCTTGTTAAGGAAATGATGGAAGGAGAGAGGGGAAAACAAATGAGACAGAAGGCTCAAGAATGGAAAAAGATGGCTGAAGAAACTACGGATATTGGAGGAAAATCTTATAATAATTTTAATAGATTGATTAAGGAGGCTTTTCATCATCATAACTAGCTATAATATAAGGGAAGCAAAGGGCGGCATGCTGAGGAAACTAAACGATTCTGTTCTCAACCTTGATCTTCCTCCTATGCGTTTATTTGTGTTTGTTTGTATTTCCATATGCTTTGAGGTTTGTATTAATGATTTAGATTTATGTTGTTCTAACGAGATGCTTCAGAAATAATATGTCATGCTTCCAAAATTGGATGGTTCGATGGAACCTCTAGGTTCAAATTCAGGCTGCAAAACGAACACAGAAGATTTATGGATTATCAAAAACATAATAACTCGCCCTGTACGCTTGGATAAAATTTTTAAGCAATGGCTTCACTGATTGTGCTGCAGAGTGAGCTTCACAAAATTATGAGTAGGGATCATTCCATGTTGAGTCCATTACATGAAAAACTTGAAAGTCGTTTGTTACTTACAAAAGTTCCAAACTTCAAAAGTCATTTATTACTTGGGGAGTAAGGAGACAAAATCACTTAGGTGCTTTGCTTTTACGATAAGTTCTTTGGTACGGTCTTATATGGTAAACATTGTCTACCTTCCTTGCACTATTTTAAATCCGCTCCAGTTTAGGTTTTAGGGGGTTTCTATAATTTAAAAGTATAGGAACTTATTGAAATTTTCTAGGGGTGTTTTAAAGATTTCAAAACTTTAGGGACTAAATAGTTTTTTTGGGCATTTTAAATAAACTAAAATTTTAGGGACGAAATTTTTTTTTTAAGAGGTATTTTGTAGTATACTTAAACTTAAGGGACTAATTATGATTTTTTTAAAATAATTTTGTTGCTGATGTCACTGATCCAATCGGTTGGACCAATCAACCCATAACTCGATCACCTTGTAAGGTCTTACAATGAGTCGGGTTTCAAAATAATGCTTTCTTGAAAGATTTTGATGAATTATATCTTGCAAATATTTTAGTTTAGAAGTTTTGTTTTAAAATCCGACCCAAGCCTTGACTCGATCAAGAGCCTCGGTCTTAGGTTGACCAACCCGACCGGTGGGTTGGATCAACGATGTCATCATTTAAACCCTTACACGACTATCTTCACAAGCTTAATTTAATTATTCTTAAAACTCCAAAAACGAACTTCTGGATTTTTCCAGCATCTCATTAACTCTCTCTACTAAATCTCCCCAACTAATAGAAGTTCTAATTTTACTTTGGTCAATTTCTTATCTGGTTAAAAGCTTTCAACTTTAGCGCAAAGACATACATATTGAGCTCCAAAATGAAATCAACCAAACAAAACAAAACATACCCTTAAACAAAAAAAGCACACAAAGACCCAAATTCAATTACCTTTTAATATTCTCCAGTCAATTTTTTCTCAAAATAACAAGATTAAACAAGCAAACAAACAAGCAACATGATTTACTAGCTTCCTATTGTAGATGTAAAAATCTACCGTTACAAAAAGAGGGACTGATCCTGTGAGGTTGAGACCACTAGCGATCTGCTGTACCTGCACACGTGAGAAAACAAGCATGAAGCAGACGGAAAACACCGGGGTGGTGTTTGCCGTAGGTACTTCGACGCTCAAGTCAACAAGATTGAGTGAGGCTAGTTTAGTGAGGGTTAGGGAGAGGAAAGGTTACCGGAAGTCTAGTCGGGGCTGCGACTACGACTGTAATGCGAAGTTCTCAAGTAGGAACTCCAGGATCTGAAGGTGTAATGTCTTTGTCCCCTATGAGAGGGCTGACCTCTGTTTAAATAGTGACTGTATGGTCTTTGAATCCTGATGGGACTGGGAGTCCTTGTACTGGTAGTACTCTCAAAGGGTGTAGCCTTTGGCTCTCTTATCTCAGCAGGAAAGGGAGTTCGAACGTGCCTAGCTCAAGTAGTAGTGTAGTTTGTAGGCGACTGTAGGCTCTGAGTTGACCGTAAGCTCAGAAGGTATTCTAGGATCAGGAGACCTGGGTCCAAATGGTGAAGAACTGGGAAAGCATACCAAATAGGCCTCATCAGTAGAACTCTGATTTGGGCCCTACTGGAATTGGGCTTGAACTTTCATCTTTGTTAGAGGTGTTTCCGTCTTTGGGCCTATTTGGGTCGAGGACATTTTTTAACCGTAACACATATCGCTATGGTTGAGGAGAGAATAAGCTTGTGAAAAGAAGGGCGTGGCATTTGCCAAAACAGTCAAAGAAGATACGACGTTTAAGTACATGAGCTTTCGAAACAATAATGAAAGAGAAGGGGGAAAGACCGAGTTAGTGGGTAGATCGAAAATTTCAATCAACGGAGTATCTCTTCTTTTTCTTTTTCTTTTTCTTCTGGAGCGTCTCTTCTTCTCCTTCTTTTTCTTTCTTAACAATAATGAAAGAGAAAAGGGGGAGTTCAAGTGTAGTGGGTTGACCAAAAATTTCAATCAACAAAGCGTTGGAGCGAGGAATCAAGATTGAAGATGAAGAATGAATTGTGAACAAAGAAGAACGAAGGCTTAAAAATTTTAAGGATTTTTGTTTTAAGTGGCCCTGACCCAGTTTTAGCATCAGGTCGATTGAACCGACGAGTCTCTACCATTCTCCATTCTGTCGGTTCAAATCCGACCCAATCCGACACAAACTATTTACGGGTTTTAGTATCACCCAGACCAGACAGGTGACCGACTCCCGGCCGAACTGGTCCGGGTTTCAAAACATAGTTCAGAAGAAGCCACTTCTTGAACCATGTGACCACAATCAATTGTTAAATTAAAAATCATTTTACTTTTACACCAGATAAATAAAATCATGAAAGGTAAACGATAACGTTACCCATTTGGAACACAAATATAAAATTACTTTGCACCAGGTACAAAACCATTTTCGTTTTTTTACCAACATCTAATTTACCCTTTCTCCCCATGTTTTACCATCTTTCATTATGTTCTTGTTCCGATTACATTAAACATGATAAACTTACAGAAAAAGAAAAACAAAATTTGGAATCTTAAAAACACAAGCTCTCTATGTCAGCAAACAAACATCTTCTACTTTGATCATGTCTCAGCTCTGTTGGACTTGCTGTATTTACTAAATCTTTGCGACACCCCGGCATCGGATAAAGTATCCCATACCTACAATAATTCACCAACATCAATAATCATTCTTAACTGCAAGAATCTTAGATGAGCAAATTCGATCGACAATGGAACCAGATATTCCACTCACCTCCAAATTTCCTTTGGACCCTCCAATTGCCAGCAAAAATGGACTATCCCCCGAGAAGGAAACAGAAAAAATAGATCCCTAACAACATTTAGAACATATAGTGTTAGACCCATCTCATGCTAATTAAAATACAAACAAATATTATTGTTAATGCTTCTCTACCTCTTAACAATATAACTTAATTAATAAAAACTATGAATAACTTACTGCTTTAGGATTCCTGGATGCAACACATGAAGGTTGGTTGTTTGACAAATCCCAAAGTTTTACCTGCATCAAACCATAATAACACTTAAGCACTGGCAAGCCCATGGTGGATAGGATAGAGAACAGAAAATCAGCTTCAAAGTTACCATTTTATCAGTAGATCCAGTCGCAAGAAGCTGTTGAAAATCAGAAGGGAAAATTTATTACAGTTAAGATTATTTTTCATAAAATCTAGCAAACGATTGAGGTAGGATAAATATGTACGTTGGGTGCTAACGGATTATAGGAGACGCTACAAACAGCCTTGTCATGAGCATGCAGAGTAAAACTTGGTTGTGATTCTGAAGCAGGATCTGATTTGGCGATCCGGATATCAAAACCTTTTACTGTACCATCTTCAAGACTCACCTATAAAAACATGAAATGATTGTTAACCAACTGGGAATGCCTAAAACCAAACATATCCCAATCTAAATTTACAAACAAAATGAATTCCAGTCTATATTCATTGTTCTTCAGACTTCTGAAATTATCTATAAGAAGATGGTCCTAAAATTAAAAAAGAAGAGAAGAATGCACACACCACAAATGAATGCTCGTTGTGTGGATCCCATGCCAAGCTTTCTACATCAGCTGTAATTGACCACTTGAAACCAGAATGCGTAGATATCCTTGCATCCTTCTGCAATGCATAAAAATAGACAACACGTAAACATATCTACAAAGAGAAACTAAAAATAACTTACAGGTCAAAACCTTAAAAACTTGGATTTCTCATCTCAAAAACGAGATTCTCCACCAATGCCTTAATAACTTACATGATAAGTTAAGCAAGTAAACAAGTTCCTTACCATGACAATTGAACGATCAAAAGATCCACTAAGAAGAACTTGGGGTGCATAATGATTCCATGCAACTGCTTGAACCTGGAAGAATTAGTAAGAAAAGCAAAAACTCAGTCAACTTAAACAAGTGTCCAAAAGTTTGCCCACTTCATACAAATTTACTAAGGTTACTATCAACAGTAGTCTAAATTTGGTGCCACCATCCATATTTATATTATTTTAAACCATTAGGCATTTTGTACTGGTGTAGAAAAAAAGGCATCCTCATTGTCAATTCTCTATGTTATGAATTCCACATAAATCAAGAACTTTTACTTAAACAGTTAGAATAGCAACAATGCAGGCATGCCCTCCCCACTTTGTACCTAAATCTCATTTTACTCCTCATAACCAACACCATCCTTTATTATGTGGATCTGAATGAGTGTCTGTGGAATCCTCGGATGGGAATTGGCTTCCCCATCCCTGTCATGATTCCATGCTCAGCCCTTCTAAATTTCCAAATAAGAAACAAGAAAAGCTATTTGTATAAAAGGAATGATAATTTACAAGAAAGGGATTGAATAGAGGACAAGAAATCCCAAAAAACAAAAAAAAAAAAAAAAAGGGAAAAAAATAAAAAACCTGGATGATTCCAAATAAAAATAGGAACCTTGTTTTAAATTTACATGTGCAATAAAGTTCAAACAATTACTTATTGATAAAAAGTTGGTTTCTTCATATATTTCTTAGAAAACTGAGAACAAATATATACAGACCCAAATGCCTAGATTAAAAAGAAAATTAAACTCATACACCATTTAAGGAAAAGGAAAGAAACAAATAAAATTTCTATCTCATCTTCCAACCAAAAATACAAAAATAACTTACTAGTTTTCTCATTTGTCTGTAACTCAAGCTTCAAGAATGATCAAACAACTTTTCTGAGATACCAGATTTGCCAAAAAGTTGCTTGCAAATGTTTTAGGAGCCTTTAGTTTAAATTTACTACATCATATGGGCCAACACCACCTGGCCATGCCCCTAATCGCAGGCTCCTTTCCCACCATATCCCCAACTATCCATAATTCCTTCTTCAAAAGAAATATCTAACCAAACTGTGGGGCTGGAATTCCAACAGTTTGTCTGGATTATGATCTTCAAAACAATTTTCCAAAATTAAAATAAACCCAAAGTTGAGTTCCCCCTTGATATTTTACTATCCAAAGATGTGTTTGCAACAATATTCTAAAATGTTTACAAAGCTAAAATTACGAAAACAGTGAATCTTTTTCCCCCTCTTTTAGAATTCTACAAGTTTTTAGGATTGTATCCAAGAGGGATATTTGAAAAAATCACCACAAAACGCATTTCTCAAAATTCCTTGTATCCCTTGTCCTAAAAACTAAAGAATTGTATTTAAATTCTATATCAAAAAGTACATAACATATCAAGTGTTTTCTAATCTTAAATGTCTTCTTTAATATCTAAATGGTGGAGGGTAAACTGTACTCAGTTGCAACAAAAAACGCCATTCAGGAATTGAGCTGTACCATAGTACGAGTAGATTTAGCTTCAAAATCAGGACGATAAGAATTGGTATCATACATCAGGATTGTCGCATCCCCAAATGCTTATCCTCTCTCTCATTAATATTGCTTTTAGAATTTACAAGGATATTCCACCATGAATACTTTCTAGATCATTTAATAGTTGTAAATTAAGAGTAGAGGTATGCATAAACTGTACCAACAAATAGGTTTGTTATAGTACATCATACATATATGAGTGAAAGATAAATTCAAATGGTGTGAAGGTAAATACTTGCCTTATCTGTATGATGCTCCAAGGTAAAACTACATTTTCCTTCAACCACATCCCAAATCTTAACAGTTTTGTCAGCACTTGCACTGGCTAGGATATTCCTGTTTTTTATTCCAAATTATAATATAAAGGAAAAAGAGAAGCAAAAGATAAATGAACATTAATATTGTAAGAACATTACAATGAAGCAAGAACTGCAAACTACATTAGAATGATTTAACATACCTGAACTCTTTGTTCCAAGCAAGACCTAGCACTGAATCAGTATGACTCCCTTCTTTGTATTCAAAGGACGACTGAACACAACACAATAGCAGGCATATGTTAAAAAAATATTAGTTACATTTATACCCACATAAGAAATTGCAAATAAAATTATTAATATTATAAATATAACTAAGGATATGCATTGAGTGAACAAATATCATAAACCTCAATTCTACATTATACTCGAGAAAAATGGCAAAATAAACAATGGATACTCATTAAAGGATGAATAGTAACTACCACTGAATGGGTTAGACATATAAAATATCTAACTAGCAAAGAACATTTGATACAAACAGAGACAATTAGAGATATAGACCCAAGCACAATCAAAGCCAAATTCAGTGCATGGTATTTTGGTGTTTGTCATTAAGTATTATCCATAAGTTTACAAAACTTATAACCATGCAATCCAGCATACTAACCGTAGGAGCTGCTAGAAATAAGAAATTTTTTGCTCCAAGAACCAATAACAAGATATCAAGTTCAAAATCACCTTAGTTGAATCCTCATTGTAGTATACACTATAGAAATGATGACGATATTTCATATTGAAGGTTTTAGAGAAATTTTACTTGGAAGGAAATAAGTAGCAAACCTTCTTGCCTTTCTTCTTCTTCTTCTTCTTCATCTTCTTCTCCTCATCAATGCCACCTAGTATGAGACATGGTTGTACTTCTTCAATCTGAAAAGAGTAAACATAATAAGAGATTTGGCAATAAAATCTCCAGTAATTGTCTAATCAACTTATATTTCATGAAATCGTTACACATAATCAACATACAATGTCAAGGTCCCATATCTCAATAGAAGGTTCCATAGAGCCAACAGCCATAAAATTCCCTGTCAGCATAAAGAAAGCTTTCATTAGCAAATTCATTACAACACATGAAGAAACAAATATATTTTGGGCAAAACAAAATACTAAGTATGCAATGCTCCAAGTTAAACTACAAAATAATCCAACTTCACTAAAAAGAAAGATGAAATTAAACTTTGTAAATATTGCTTCTCTCTCTTTTTATATATATTTTTATTACATAAGTTATTTCTCTTAGCATTTACTTCCCAAACAAAAACAAAGGGGAAGGTTGAGAAGAGGTTTTATTGACCTCCCTATGATTTGAAAAGGAATAAAGATCCTCAGTTGATCTAATTTACCTAATCATTTCAGAATAATGCCAAATGACAATTGTAAAATTATAATAAACTTGTTGCACTGTTTATATTTTTCAATTCACCATCTATCAATTAAACACCCTGTTTCATTTTTTAAAAAAAAAAAAAAAAAAAAAAAAAGCAACATTAGCTCCAAAATCTCAGCTTCCCTGCTCCCCATTCTCTTTCCTTCTTCACACAGACATCTCTTCTCCTACCTTCTTCACATGTTCTTCATTACTCTGAAAAGTACTTTCTATGTTACGTTTACTGATTTTCTTTTTCTCTTCTTAGAAGTAAACCTTCACACGTTTGGTGTGACAAAATCAAACAACAAAAAGAAAAAAAGCACTTAGGAACTTTATACCAAAACAAAGTCATTTGAAAAGAAATGAACTCTGACGACACGACTAAATGATAGAAATGTGTCACAAGATCTTTGAAAGTGAAGGTAAAACTAGATGATAAGAAGATCCTTGCCTAAATCTCCCCCAAAAGAAAAATAAATAAAGTTCAAAAGATTACACTGACATTCCCTATCACCAACTAGAATCCACTAAGTGTAACATCAAATTATTACTACGGTAATTTTGCAAGAAATAAATTTTTAAAATTTTTGTTTTTTGACTTATTTCATGTTTTAAATGTATTCTACAATAACTCCATTATCAATGAAAGTATATGTCTTTCTTTGCATATGCAACTAAACTATCATATATTCGTTATTTTTCATCAGTTTATGATTAATTGTTTAGAATACTTGTAATGAAAATTATTATTGCTAATACTAAACCCTATATCTTTTCATACTGAAAACTCAATGTTGCAGTCCATATTCATAATATAAGTTACAAGTAGAATATTAAATGAAACAATAAAATAGATAATTAACAAATAAGTGAATTTAAACTTTGCAATAAATTAGACAAACAAGATTCAGAATGAAGCGTAACAGGTTACTAGGCTAATTCATAAACATCAATGTAGCTATATAAATTGAACAGATACAACATGAATTGCAGCCTAAAAAAGTATATGAATGTCTACCTTTTTCTCCTCCTTTAAGTGGGCAATCAAGCCAAGCCATGCAAAGAGGAAATGCTGGAATGATAATATGATGGTGAACATACAAGTTTACATCACCATCATTTGATTCCTCGTATACATGGACCTATTTGCAATTAAATCTTCCATCAGTGCCCAGTGTTCATGTGTGTATAATCTGTATGTGTTAGTGAGTGTAGGCACATGCGCAAGCATGCATGTGTGAGAGGAGAGAAAGACAGAGAGAGTAAGGAGACTGTAAGCATTACGTGCCTCAAGATGACTGACATCATCCTCATTACGTGCACAAACTATAACTGCATCATTTGCATTAATGACCAGATCCTCAAGGTCTTCTGAGTCCTCATCCTGAGAGGAAGTTCTGGCATTATAAGCCAAAATAAGGAATGGCAAAAAATCAAACACAAATCAAATATGGTTGACATACTCACATCTTTATCCTTCAGGTGTGGATCCATTTGATTACTTGGGTAGTAAAGGTCCCCAATCCCCCTGCTAAAAAGCTCAACTCCTAAGTTCAACCACAAACAAATGGTCACTATGAAATATGATGGCCATTGCAACGAACATGGTCATTACAGACTCTTCTATGATTTCTTAATTTTTTTAACCTAGGATTTTATGCAGGTGAGTAACTTAAAAGTTGATTGTCAGTCTTAATAAGCATATTAAATCCCCAAATATCCCTTCAACTTAACCAACGCACCAATTACTACCCCTTTCTTCCATAACTGAGAAAAAAAAATCAAACTGAAAGAAACAATGAAATTCCAAACTTGTGCAGACAGAGATACCTTCATCCTCATCATCATAATGGTCCATGTCAAGTTCCTTCAAGCCATCAGCTATATCATCCAATTTGGCTTCTGAATTCTTTTTGGAAGTTTTGCCAAGTGCATCTGCTACAGCTAAAGCTTGTGAGACTTCATCAGTCTGCTCGACATCCTCAATATCCGTGTCTTCACCATCCTCCTCACTACGACCATGTTCACTACACAAACCAGCATCATTACAAAATAACAAAAATCCAATCCCTTTATCACCGCTATCATAGTGCTAGCCAAACAGAAAGCAAATAAGCTAAAAGACAAAAACTAAGAAATTAAAAAAAAAAAAAAAAAAAAAAATTACCTTTCCTCTTCTAAACCACCACTTTTTATCATCTCCTCAATTTCTTCTTTTGAAGGTAGTTGAGCTTCATCAGGCACGGCCTTTGATGCGCCCTTCGGCACCCATGATACTGCCGCTATCATTCTTCACAACAACGTTTTATTTATCTACAATCAATATGAAATACTATCAAAAATCCTTTAAAAAATGAACGGAAAGCAATATCCAGAAGAGTTTTTTTGCAATATCAATAGAATTGCCATATCCCGGACCTATTAGCTCAATCAATCGAAACATATTATGATTCCTGATTATAGAGACTTGTATAGCATAAACTTCAAATTAACAGCTACATTTTTGTTGGTTCATTAACAATAGAAGAATTAATTTCATAACAATCAAAACCAACCAACAGAGGCGAGTCGGTTGCCGCGATAGGCAACGGCTTGGCGGCGTCTTTGGTAAAAGTTCGCCTGGTGTTGGAAGTGACTTAAATTTGAAATAAGCAATTAGGTCTAATTTCACTGAGATTTGTGTTAAACTAGTATTAATGAAAGAAGTTTTGGTTGGAAGTTATAAAAAGTTTTTACGGGTTTTGGTCAGCAGAATAATATAATGCTAAAACCCCGGCGCCGGCGGTGATAAAGGGTTTATCTTCTGTGAAATAATCAAGAAGTTCACAAAAAATTCAGTAAAGAAAATGACCGATCAGTGTTACAACAATTACCTCCTCTGGCGCAAGTAACAAACACATCTAATGATTTCGGAAAGTAACAAGCACCCAAGGCCAAGGAGTTTGACTTTGCAGTGACAGTCTTATTTAAATACAGTAATACCCTCCCTTTTATTGCAATTTTCTATCTAATCTAAAATAAATTCTAATTTATTAAATATAAATTGAAATTTATAATCTCATTTTTAGGGTCTAAATTGGAAAGTGATCTCATAGAAAAAATCTCTCATAAAATAATCCTAACCCGAAAACAATCCTACCATGATTACGAAAACACCCTTGGTATAAAAGCCTATTTCATTCAAATCTGTGGCAGTAGTTGCAATTCTGGTCATTTGAGTAACCAATTAGACCCACCTCCAATTGATGTGGGCTTGGATTCTCTAACACTTGCATAAAGTTTTATAAATACCACCACATAATAAAAGAAGCTCAGGAAAAGCATCTATTTTTCCTTTCCAACTATACACAAATCCCTCATCAACCCAATTCATGGAAAATCACTTTTCCTTCATCTTCTTCCTCATCTCCTTCTTCGCTCCATGGTGTTGCATCTTTGCCATCAACCCCGCCTGCCGCACCACCTGTGGCTCTATAGACGTCAAGTACCCGTTCGGCACTGGTTATGGCTGCGGCTCCCCACGGTTTTACCCCTATGTAACATGCCCCAAAGACCAGCTCCTACTCAATACCCACACAGGCTCATATCCCATAACCTCCATATCCTACACAACCTCAGCCTTAACCATCACCCCACCTTCCATGTCCACATGCAGCTCCATGCAACAATCACCGAATATAGGCCTCGATTGGGCCAGCCCATTCGAGCTCGGCCCATCAACTTTCCTCCTGCTGTCATGCACACCACCAACCTCTTCTCTCACCGTCGAAGGCTCCCCCGTTTGTGACACTTCCTCCTCTCACCTATGTGACTCCTTTTACACTTGTCCTTCCGTCATCGGCCTCAGCCTGCCGCTGTTCCCACCATCCAACACGTGCTGTGTGTACTCCCCGGCCAATTTCAACAGCAAGGGGGAATTGGACTTGCGTGTGTTAAAATGTGGAGGATACACATCAATAGTGTCACTTGAGGATTTTCCGACGGACCCAAACCAGTGGCAATATGGGGTGAGCTTAAAGTACACACATGGAGCATTTGACAACTATTACATAGATAATAAATGTAATGCCTGTGAAGAGAGTGGTGGCGTTTGTGGATTTTCTCCTCCAAGTGATTCATTTATTTGTGTGTGTAAAAATGGTTTCAATTCCACCATACAGTGCAGTTACTTCAATATTGATTATCAGGGTGATGAGGATATGTTTGGCAGCTCTGCTTCGTCATCAACTTGTAAGTTATCTTTAGATTAATAAATATAAATTTGCTTCAATTTTTAAAAATTGAAAATTCTCATACAAATGTCTTGAAATTTTTAATGTGCCGATCAAAGGTGAAAGTCTAGGCTTTCATTTTTAATTGTAGAGTTCCAGAATCGATTAGATGCTTATCTGCACATTAAAAATTTCAAAGACATCCGTATTTATTAAATGACTAGTATAAAATTTGGTAAAAGTGAATTGATACACTTATTGGATGAGCACAAGATGCTTACGCTATAGTAACTGGTATTGTAAAACCACTTTCTGTTGTTGTTATTTAGAGGGGAATAGGAATATGCCAAAGTGATTTGTCTTGAGGCATAAAGACAGTTTCTTTTTTTGTGGAAAAAAAAAAAAAAAAAAAGACTAAACTGAAGTGGGTGATTGCAAAGCATAAATTTAAAGCAAGCTTTAACATTATGATTTATTAATTTGTATTTTAAGTAATTAGTTATTTATGTTTGAATGGTTTTGCAGGGACGAGTTGGTTGGGAATTTTGGGTGGCATGATGTTATTATATATGTAATGTTACATCTTTTGTTGGGCTTTTCTCTTTGGTGATCTCTTTGAAAATTTTTAAGTTTGAAGAACTTTTGTTTTGACATGAATTTGTAGTCAATTGCAATGTAGGCGAAGCTAGTAAAATAGTAATATAAAGTAATAAAGCTAGCAGTATGGGAGAGATTAATTTTATGTATTATAGATATATAAAAATATATTAATGTATAAGAACAGAAATTGGCTGTGAAAGTGTCATTTTGGATGTATGTAATCCAATCCAATGAAAATTAAACACATGGTAACTTGGTAAGTAAAAATATATATTCTACTGTGAAATTTGCGTTGGTGCATGTTTGACACGTGACATAAAACATTAAACAAATTGTATGGCATTGCATATTGTATTATATTATATAATATTATGTTAAATGTTGTATAATATTTGATAGAACATTACATTGTATTATTTTTATACTATGTTATATTTGGTATATGAATTACATTGCATAATATTATTTTTGTTATTTAACAAAATTCATTTATTAAAAACTAATATATTTTTCAAATATTATTTAACTAATTATTAAAAAAATTAAAGAATGAAAGGGTTAGTGGTCAATGCCGATCAACGAAGTCAAAATAGTGGTCAAATATTAGTCAATATCGGTTAAAAATAGGTCAAACACTGGTCAACGTTGGTCAAACAGTGGTCAATGTTGTTGACTGGTGTTGACCATAATTTGACCAGCATTGCAAATTTAAATTTATAAATATTAAATTAATCGACAATGTTTTTTTTGCTTAAAATTAATGTTGAGTAAATTGCATAAACTTATGCCATGATTTAACTTGTTATTATTTTATGAAGAGTATACCGCATTATTTTAGTCTTGATATTATAACACATTATTTTGGACTTGATATTATTTAATACTATGAGTTTTGTCACCAAACACAACATTACATTATTTACTGCTATGCAATTTATCTAATTGTTGTGTGTGATTTTTCCATTAAGCTCGGAGAATGCAAGGTTATAGTTTGACTCAAAATCAGCTCGGCTCAACACTTGTCTGACCTAGCATAAGTTAGTCGCAACCAATCCTGACAGTTGTTCAATCAGATCACAAATAAGCTTAGATCCCGGATATTTCGAAAGGGATCAGATCAACAACAATAATGGCGCAATCTTAGCGCTCAATCGCAAGAAATATTGGAGTTACATTTCAATCTTAATTGTAATTCCTATAATTTTGCTTTTTCCTTTGTAAGAAACTTGTATATAAACCCCTTCCAACGATGGAACAAGGGTTAGCAAATTATTCTAAGCACTATATTATTTTCTTGTAAGCTCTCAAAGCAAATAAGAAAAACAGTGGACGTAGGCTCAAGATTCAAACTTGCCAAACAACTTAAAAAACCTTTTGTGTTCTTTACATTACTGCATTTATATTCTTACATTGCTGGTTATCTTTAATCACGCACACATCCGTTTCAATTCCACTAAGGTCAATCAGATCACTCTAGTTGGTGTAAATTTTGTATCAACATTTTGGCACTAGAAAGAGGGCCTCCGCCAACATTCAAAATTTCTAGTAATATATTTTAGTGACCCGATCACCTGAAAGTTCAAATGGCCCATACCAAATCAAAAACTACCACCGAAAACCACGACAACGTGGAAACTGCCAATCAAGAAATCCATCAGATTGCTCCCTCAGGTCAACCTGCCGCCAGTGCAGCAAATCGCGAACCAGCAAGGGGTAAGGATGTCAAATCTTGAGAATGGTCAGCTGGTGGAAATGATAAGAACATGGTTGTGCAGGTGGTGCAACAGAACATGGCTAAATTAAGGAATCAGTAATCGGCCCCCCAAGACCTCGACTAGCCATGCTTCATGGAGGTTACTCCAATAGATCGTAACTTAGTTAACGACCAATCTGGCTTGTCGGCACCAAGGAGCGACCAACACCCTTGACACTATAAGGTACATTCTGCTGACAAGCGTGAATCCTGTAGGCAAGTTAACCCTGAGAGGTGACCAGGAGAAGAACCTACGAGGGAGAATGAAGTCCATGGTCGACAAAGGAATGCTCGCCCTAGTCGACGACACAACCCACACCAGCGTGCCGATTTTAACCCATGCCAAAGGCGGGCTCAGACCTCGCAAGCTCGCGAGATGAGTCATGCGTGCCAATCTGGTAATGACCAACGTTCTAGTTTTAACCAACATTGCGAGTAGCGCACAGATGAGTATGATAGCACCTACCAACCCAACCATCATGACTCTACGTTACGCAGCGATGAGCACGACAGAAGAGACTCACAATCAACTATGAACTCACCTGCTCGAGGCAAGGGTGAACAAAGCTTGCAACCAAAGTACTCCTCATGATGAGGACTTAGATCGAGTGAAAAAAAAGCTCGACGATTTGAGAGCCCGCCAAAACAACGTGGTGGAAGAGATAGTGAGTTCTTCGTTCATGAAGGAAGTTCATCACGTACTCCCCTAAGGATTCAGGGTGCTAGAGAGCAAGTTCGATGGGAAAAGGGATCCCAGAGACCACCTTGACTCTTTTAACGTCCTAAGGGAGCTACATCAGGTCTATGACTTGGCAAAGTGCCTCTATTTCATGGTCACTTCAACAGGATGCCAAGAGATGGTACAAGAGGCTCAAGGAGAACTCAATACAGTCTTGGCAATAGTTCTCCTAGCTGTACCTACAACAATTCTAAGCGAGGAGACATTTTGTAATGTCGCTTAGCTATCTGGAGCAATATTCGTCAGGAAAGAGACAAAACTCTAACCTTGTATTTAACGAGGTTCCAGAATGAACAAGCAAAGGTCGTGGATGCACCTGAAGAGTCAATCCGAACTTTGCTAATAGCAGGAATAAGGTCGCAGACGGAGTTATGGAAAGAGCTCTAAAGCGAAGACTATGTGAGCCTAGCCAAGTTCTATTAGATGGCCGCTAAACATCAGCAAGTATAAAGCTTGCTAGCGACCTTACCCAAAAGCTCGCCAAGAGGAGCTCTTGACAAGTGACAAGATGCTCAACAGATAAATGAAGTGGCCAAGATCGCAATGATAAGGACCAAAACAGGTTCCAAAAAAGACAGAGAACAGAAAACCGCAGGGAAAAGCAACTTTTTTTCATTGTATGTGGAGTACACGCCCCTAACTCAACATGTAGCTCAAATCTATGAGATCTCTCGTGAGGCTAAGAAATTGCCCATGCCAAAAAGAATAAGGGGGTTGCCAGGCAGAAGAGATAGCCAAAAATACTATCGGTACCACCGAGACATCAAGCACAACAGCAGTCAGTGATGAGCTCTAAAGGACGCATTGAAGATCTGATCAGAAGAATCCACTTGAAGGAATTTGTCAAAGAGACACCAGCTCACAAAAATCCAAGCAAGTAGAATAATCAAATCCAGCAAACAACGATGTACTAGTGGGTATGATCTATGAGGACCCAATGTTGTAGGGATTTCCAGGCACTCTCGAGAGCAATATGCGCAGGAGGCCAGGACGGACTCAATCCCCCAAGTAATCAGCTGTGAGCAAAAGCTGCCAAAGCAGTGTAGGCAAGAAAGTAAGGTGATAGGATTCACCAAGGAAGAATGTGAAGAATCTCGCCACAACCATGATGTGATTGTAGTCACATCAAGGGTCGTCAATGCCCGAGTACTCAGGGTAATGGTTGACAATGATAGTGCAGCAAACATCGTTTTCTTGGGAGCTTTCCAAGAAATGAGGCTCATAAAACAAGACCTGAGGGCATCTCTGTTGCCATTTGTACGAATTCACCGAGGATAGCATAGTTCCCAAGGGAACAATCGACTTGCCCGTGACTCTTGGAAAAGAGCCTAAGATCAGGATGGTGATTACTGAGTTCTTAGTGGTCGACTGTCGACCACCTATAATGTGATTATCCGAAGGCCAATCCTGGATGACCTAAGCATAGTTACCTTAGTTCACTGCCAAGTAATGAGATTCCCAACTCCAGGTGGGGTCGTAACAATCGAGAGTTGTAGGAAAGATTCTCGAGAGTGTTATAATCGGGCTATTCATGCTACACAAAAATGGTCGCTCCTGAGAGCCATGGTCATTGCTGAGTCCGAGCTAAAGCTCGACCTCTAGAAGACACCATAAATCCTCGCATCCACAAATAAGAGCCCACTATAAGGCCAACATAAGAGCTACGGGAAGAACTGATCAACAAGGAAGACCCAACTCGCGTGCTGAGAATTGGTAGCAGTCTAAGTGACGAGGTGGCAAACAGTCTTATGGGGTTCTTAAAGAAAAACATTGACGTGTTCGCTTAGGTCATGCAGACATGGTGGGGATCAACCTCGAGGTAGTGTACCATAGATTAAACATCGATTCAGGGGCTCAACTAATAGGACAGAAGAGAATATCTATGGATGATGAGCGATCTAAAGTGCTTAAGGATGAAGTTGATAAGCTCTGAACATCAACTTCATTTAGGAAGTAAAATACCCATACTAGCTCGGCAACTCGGTCTTGGTGAAGAAGTCGAATGGCAAGTGGCATATTTGCGTCGACTTCACTGATCTAAATAAGGCATGTTCTAAAGACAGTTTTTCGCTACCTATGATCGATCAACTAGTAGATACGATAGCCAAAAACGCACTACTAAGCTTAATGGATGCATATTCGAGATACAACCAAATCCTAATGTATCAACCCGATGAATAACACACCTCCTTTATTACTGATTGGTGTATTTATTATTACAAGGCTATGCCATTTGGCTTGAAGAACGCTAAAGCGACCTATCAACGTTTGATGAATCAAATGTTCGCCGAGCAAATTAGAAAAACAATAGAGGTTTACATTGATGACATGCTCGTCAAGTTAAAGGTCGCCGAAAACCACATCGAGCACCTAAGGAAAATATTCGACATCCTTAGAAAATACCAAATGAGACTAAACCCATTGAAGTGTACTTTTAGGGTAAGCTTGGGGAAGTTTCTGGTTTTCCTAGTACATCAGCAAGGTGTTGAAGCTAACTTAGATAAGATTCAAGCTCTCTTGAACATGAAGAGCTTGGTTAATATAAAGCAGGTTCAGAGTTTGACAGGGCGAGTGGCCGTACTAAGCATTTTCGTCTCTCGAGCTACAGATAGGTGCTTACCTTTCTTTGAAACCT